CGAGCGAGTCGGTTAGTCTGTCTCCTAACATCGTTAACCTTACTCGCTGTTCTAGAGCACAATCAGGGATATCGTTTTCGTGAAGTCTGATTTGTATGTGTTGATACCGTCACCCATTACTGCTGGATAACTGTTTACGTTTCTGTGGTTTTTGAACAACAAACTAGACTTTGCCTGGTGATAAGCAAATTCCTCACTTTTCTTAATACTGCTGTGGTTTAGGACCTTCTTATGTAACTGACTTACCGGAATCAAGTCAACAAGGTGTTTTTATCTTCCGATTCCGGCCGTAGAACCTGCGCATTTTTCGTCATCCGCGACAGAAGGCCGTTCTACTGTTAACGCTGCCGACTGTCGGCCCAACTCACAACTAGAATGAGAGACTGCTTATCTCCGGGGTTCGTTACGATCTGGGAATTAGAGTCTATTTCTTTTTGGGTAGAACTGGGCAGGTGCTCCTCGCTCACTTCCCACCCATGGGTATACTACGGGCCGATCCCGTGCACCCTCCGCTAATTGATGTCACAAATTGCAACGTTAACTTATTCGCTTTCTCGTTTGGGCATTTTTTATTTGTTCAGCCCGGCCCATTTGAATTAAAAGCAGGACTGACTTGTGTGGCCTCATAAACGTCATCGACTCATGATTAAAAATGTTCTCTATTGTTAAGGAGTACGACTACGTTTTTTTACCAACGCGCTCGCCGTTGCTCTGGTAGAGGTTAGTGACGATATTGAAAAATGTACCTCAATGACCTTGCCCAAGATAAGGAAACACTCCCAAATTGCACGCGCCCGCCGTGTGTGCAGTAAGGGTTAGTGATGATACTAAAAAATGCCCCTACTGGACCAACGACCAGCGCGTATAAGTTGGGGGGTGGGTGTTCGCTGAGCTTGGGCGAGGTCACTGAGGTGCATTTTTTAATATCATCACTAACCCCTACTGGACCAAAGACGAGCGCGTATAAGTTAGGGGAGGGGGTGTTCGCTTACCTTGGGTGAAGACACTGACGTCGGTAAAACTGGAGTCGTGCGACTGAACAGTAGAATATAGTTTTTCATTATAAGTCGACGGTATTTTTTAGGCTCCGCAAGTCAGTCCTGCCGAATTAAATTTGCAACTCCGTAGCCTCTGTGATTACAGCCCACATACGCTAATCAGAATTTGCGATTGTTAAATTTTTTTTGAAGTACACAAGAAGGAATTAGTTTCCCGAAATAGTTTTACCTACTGCAACTACGTTTAATATTACTACTTGCAATACCTTAATAAAAGTTCATGTTTACGATTATTTTCTATTAGTGTGCGACTTATGTTGATTATTACGTGCAATTATGTAGGTCATTTCGTTCCAATTTTATCGACTTATCGTACGCTTTTCTTAGACGCTTTTTGACCAATAGACAGTTCAAAGTCATCTCCTTAATCAAATTGAATTGAACTGAATCACCAGGTTTGTATGTTCGAATCATTTTCCGGGAGCATTTCTCCTGCTGATTAATCTGCCTCCGGTGGGCTCTTTCTTAATTTCCTATCACCTCACAGGTAAAAATCCTGGACATGCTGGCCTTCTTCCTACATGTTCTGCCTCCATCAACTGGTCTGAGTCTACCCTCTGACGAACGTAGCAGACTTTGCGAAGCGGTGAAGCTCTTCTTAGCTGCCAACCTGCCATTGGATCTGGACGAGTTCAGCCAGTTGGCTGTACGATCGAGTGAATTTACGGCAATCTTACGATCGGTCAGTCTTCACCCTATAAAATTCTGCCATATATTTAAAGCTGAAATGTCAATTGAAGTTCACAAGTGTGTTCTTTATAGTAGAAAGGATTATTTAAGTGGGATTGCAATACTGATTATCGTGCAACAGAATCTTAATAAATATTTCAGCCGTGACAGGAAGCCGACTATTGAATGAGTGTTCTCCCAGCCGCCTACGAAAATTACAACCGTAAATGACTACTTTATAAGTGTGGGTTTTGGTCATGTTGATTTCCAATGCTCTTATAATTCCAAGCATATGTTATGGGAAACTTGAATGAGCATATATGCTGGTGGATAGGCGTTCACTGATCGGTTACGTAACTCACTTCTCCCGTTGTGCGTTTGAGTTCGATCTTGAACCCAACCCAAGAGGCTAGCTTAGTATAAGCAGAAATACGTTGACGACAAATAGCAGCGCGACTGTATTGTCTCGTACATATGTCGTAGCGCATTGCATCTTCAACTTTTATACTTGAAAAATTATTATGTTTCAGTTTTTAACACCGTTTAGTTCACAGAACT